ATACCAAAATACGGTGTTACATCGAAAGATCAGATACATCAGTTTCTCCGCCCTCTCGCATTAAAAACTCGTACTCCTCTTCTCTATTATTGACTTGATTTCGCAACCTAAGAGCTTCCCATTCCATTCGAAGGAAGACCCAAATCCACCGGCGAAGGATTTCAAGAGCTTCGATGAGGAACACCCCGACTTCTAGATCAATGGTATGATGGAGATGAGACGAGAGCTTCAGTGACCAAGTAAATCGGAGAATAAAGTTGACAAAGATTGCGATATAGTAGATCATGGGATCATTGAACAACAATTGAGGTCGTAGGCCTGCATATTGTGTCGCATTGTCGACTTCGATATCAGTCGTTGAACTTTTGGGTAGTAACCGCCGTTGCGACTCCCCAGCCATAGATGGTTGTTTCTTGGATGCCGAGCTTGATATCCGGAGAAAGCTTAGACCCCAATCATTTACTACATCCCACCAGAACGAATAGACTGAGTTGACGAGAACGAACAGTACCCTAGCAAAATGTGAACGCTCTTCCTTAGATTAGAAGACGAAAACGCACCAGATGCGGAATAGGGGGTGCTCCCCATGCTTCACTGAGCTGGAAGCTTCTGGGACAATCCTTTGCGCAGCAGATAGGAATATCACGGGAAAGGCAGTAGCATATTTCAAGGCGTTGAATAAGGGCTTTGAAGATTTCGTAGTGCGATGTTCGGCGACGCATTGCCGAAACCGAATGGCATAAGGCAAGCTATGGGAAGTAGTTAATAGAGTTGAGTCGTTCACTTGTCACTGACGTACCTCATAAGAAATGGAGTTATCCATTGGAAGGCTCCTATTTCAGGAGGTAGTTGCCAAATTGGCCCCTTTTCAAGCAGAATTCGTGTGGCAAGCCCGAAGTCTCCAAAAACTTTTGCGAAAGAAGTGAATATATCTGCCAAAATGACATCGGAAAAAGCAATTGACTGGGAGAGTGACGGGACAAGACACCGCATGGTTGCACTAGATACAGGCATAAGGA